TCCAGCCTAGTGGTTAAGCATGCGTGTTTCGGTCAGCCAGCATAGCTTACCTGTTCTTATTCTTGTCACAGTATCTTTAAATTTAAATGAAAAAGTGAAAAGGAAAAATATTCAGAATGCAGGGATTTTAGATATTTTTCGTTCTCCTTGATAACCTTCTGCATTTTCCAAAAAGTTTCTTCAATAAGTAGTGTTGAAATGTGCAGAGTCTGAGATTTTACCCTGCATGCAAGTTAACAATCTAGTCTGCTAGTTTCATGGGTTGTGGCAGAAGACACAAGAATCTTGCATCAGAGACAAAGGAGTTTAAGGCATAACTCATAGATATTGTGGGTTCAGTTCCAGACCAATGAAATAAAGCAAATATTGAAATAAAGAGCGTCACATGAATTTTCTGGTTTCCCAGTGCATATAAAGGTTATGTTTACACTGTACAGTAATAGTAGCCTGTTAACTGTGCAGTAGTATCATGTCTAAATAGCAACGTACACACCTTATTTTAAAAACACTTCATTGCTAAAAAGTGCTAGCCATCATCTGAGCCTTCAGTCATAGCAACATTTTGCAACAGTAACATTAAAGATTACTGATCACAGATCATTGTAAAAATATAATAATTAATAATAATTTTAACGTTTGAGATTTTGCAAGAATTACCAAAATGAGACACAGAGATACAAAGTGAGCAAATGCTGGTGGGAAAACTGCACCAAGAGACTTGCTTGACACAGGGTTGCCACAAATCTTCAATTTGTAAAAAACACGATAGCGATAGCGGTGAATCACAGTAAAGTTAAGCACGATAAAAGGAGGTATGCTTGTATTACTCATAGCAATAGTAGGAGCCAGTGCATCAGCACTTACTTTACTGATGTGCAGAATGATGTGAGTAAGGCCACACATCACCTGTATACACAATAGGAATGAAAGAGGAGAGAATCCCCAAGCTTAGGAAATCAAATCTTTTGTCATTGAAAATAAGCCTGCCTGAACTTTGTCCCAGAAGAATACATTATATTTACCACACTAGATAGGGAAAAATCTGGCCTTTGCTCTGGAAAGACACACCATTTTTACCTTTCAATGCTCATTATACCAACATCGTTGAAAAAGTAGTCTAGAATGAAAGCAGTGAATGTCTCTGCTCACAAAATGTGCAGAAAAGCAAGAGACACGTGGAGAATTGTCTCTTTTACAAAACATGTATGAATTCTGTACTCATAAAGTTTTGTTTTTAACAGTGAATGGGAGTTGGAGCCATTCACTGTTGACTCTTCTTTCTAGTATAGAATTATACTCTTATTTTTTTCCTCAGGTACTAGAAGCTTTAAAAAAAAAAAGATACTTACACACAGGAAAAGAATCCTTCATCCAAGTCAACTCTTTTAGAAAGTCTGAGAGAATGAGCCAACATAAGTCAAAAGGAAGCAGAGGTAGTGATATTAATATGAATATCACTTCACTGAAGTAGGGGGAAGGGCATAGCTCGGTGGTATAGCGTGTGCTTAGCATGCGTGAGGTCCTCGGTTCCATCCTTGGTACCTCTGTTAAGTAAATAAATGAAAATAAGCCTAATTGCCTCCTGACCCCCAAATATGCTTAAAGAGGAAAAAGATCTTTCTGTTACTAACAGATACAATCCATATGAATATATAACATCCACAAACCTCTATGCCTTCCATAACGCCACATCAAGTCAAAAGTTAAAAGCTATTAGCATATAAAGAAAATAGTTGAAACATTAATTACTTTACAGATCAATCAATAAATAAAAACATTAAGTATCCAAATACTATAATTGTCATATATATTTATTTGAATTTTATTTCACAGATACAGCTATGACATAGAAGAAACCTGATTGAAGTCCTTTCCACATAAAAAAAGACCCCAAGAATCC